TTCTCTGAAGAGGAAAGAAGGATGGCCAATAGACACATGAAGAAATGCTCAACCTCCCTAGCCATAAAAGAAATGCAAATCAAAACAACATTGAGGAAACATCCCATGCCAGTTATAATGGCTAGAATCAAGATCTCTAATAACAACAGATGTTGGAGCGGATGTGGACAGAAGGGAACCTTACTGCATTGTTGGTGGGAGTGTAAATTTGTTCAATCACTTTGGAATCTAGTATGGAATTTCCTCAAAAGTCTCTACATAGAGCTCCCCTAGGACCCAGCAATCCCACTTTTGACCATTTACTCAAATGATCTCAAACAAGACCACACTGACGCTACCAGCACAACTATGTTTATTGCAGCATTATTTACCATAGCTAAGATATGGAACCAGACCAGATGCCTCTCAGTAGATGAATGAATCAAGGAAATGTGGTATATATACACAATGGAATTCCATGCCTCCATCAGAAAGAATGACATTGCCCCATGTGTTAGGATATGGAAAAACTTGGAAAAAAATATATAAAGTGAAGTAAGCCAGCCCCAATGAAACATAGGTTCCATGATTTCCCTTATTTGCAATAACTAGTATATGTCTGAGACAAGCAGAAACGATCAGATAAATTGATTTTAGGTGAAATCAACCCCAAGATAAGGACACATCTTGTTTTTTCTTTCGTGTTATTGTTTCTAACATATTTATAAGATATTTGTTTGTTTCTTTCTATGTCCCTTCCACATGGTATAACCCCTGTTTTTCACTGTATTTGATGTTGGTATAATTTGTGGAGGAAAAGGGAAAAAACAAATGGTTTAAATAGGGATACAGTTGGACCCATTGCAACAATGAGATTTACAAGACGTTATGTCAAAAAATGAACAGGATGGACAGGGTGGGGGGGAGTGATGGGAAGGGGAAACAAAGGAGCAGGTAACAATGCTTGATAAGAAATATACTCATTACCTTGCCCATTTAATTGTAACCCCTCTCTATGGTATTTTCACAATAAAAAAGAGAAAAGCCCACACATACTCCCACCTTCATATATATATATATACACACACACACACACACACACACATAGAGTTGTTTGCTTACATTTGAATTACCACAATGAGATATACACTCTATAGTAATTTAATAAATCAATACTTGTGAAACTTTTTTCAAATGGATAACACTTTTTAGCTTATCACAATTTAACAGTTAATGAAGAAAACTTAAATGTAAGGCCTATAACTAGTGTGTAAATATGTATTCTCTGCTTTCTTTGTTACTGTTAATTATTGTAACTTTCCTTATTTATTTGCTTACAAAACTAACAGTGAAAGGTCATTAGGCCATAATAACTACATTGAAATTTTCTATAACTCTATTTTATTTCAGTTCAGGCAACAAACTCTGGGTTCCATGTAGGCAAGTATGCCACTGCTGATATACTTCCATGGCACTCATTTTGTCACTTTCACATGGATTCTTATAGAATAACATGTTATCATTTAAACTTTTTTTAAAAAACATTATACTGGTCCTTGGTGGCTTATGCCTATAAACCTAGATACTCAGGAGTATGACATCTGAAACCACAGTTCAAAGCCAGCTCAATAGGAAAGTTGAGATACTCTTTTTTCAGTTACTCCTGGGAAAACCAAAATGGAGCTGTGGTTCAAAAGAGTACTTTGCTAATAACTAGTATATGTCTGAGTCATGCAGAAAAGGTCAGATAAGTTGATGTTAGGGAAATGAACCCAAAGATATGTATTCAAATGTTTTTTTTCTTTCATGCGATTTTTTTCTAACACATTTATAAGATTATTTCTTTGTTGCTTTGCATGTCCCTCCCCCATGGTATAACCCCTGCTTTCACTGTATTTGATGTTGGTATAATTTGTGGAGGGGAAGGGAAAAATAAATCGTTTAAATAGGGATACCGGTGACCCATTAAAACAATGAGATGTACAAGTCGTTATGTTGAAAACGAACTTTACAACTTTGGTGGGCAGGGGAGGAGGACTGGATGGAGGGTGGGGGGAAGATGGGAAGGGATAGGAAGGGGGAAACAAAATAGGAGGCTACAATGCTTGATAAGAAATGTACTCATTATCTGGCCCATGTAATTGTAACCTCTCTGTACAGTATTTTCACAATAAAAACAAAAATAGTATTGTGCTAGCCTTAAGCAAAGGAGCTCAGGGATAGCACTCAGTCCCTGAGTCCAAACCTAAGGAATCACAAATAATGATTATACTACTGCTACTACTAAAGCTAATAATAATAACTTAAACAAAACATTGATCCAATATGTATGCAGTTGTATAGCCTGTAAGGTTGAATCAAGAGGATTCAAGTTCAAGGTCAACCAAGGTAAACAGTAAGACCCCATCTCAAGTACTAGTTGGGTGTTGTGGTGTACACCTGTCATGGCATCCTGGTGTGAGGCTGAGATTGAGACGGTTGCAGTTATAGGTGAGTCTGGACAATAAGATTTCCTAAGACATTAGCTCAACCAAAAAACTCTCAGCATCTAGACTACCATCTCTCGTCCTCGATACTTGAAGAAACACATTATAGGAGTATTACAGGGCGGGATAATCTGGGTAAAAAACAAGGATATATCTCAACAACAAACAGAGTAAACAAGAACTAGAGCATGTCTCTAGCAGTACAGCCCCAGACTAGGGAGAACACAGCATAGAGTCTAAATGCCAGTGTTGCAAAGAAACAACTATGAAACCAAGTATAAAAGTTGATGTATCGAATTATGATTTTTCTTTTTATCAGTCATGGGTCTTGAAGTCTGGATCTGGACAATGTACCTGAGCTCTTCAGATCAAGGCTAGCAATCTACCACTTGAGCCACATTGCCACTTCTAGTTTTCTGTTGGTTCATTGGAGATAAGAGTCTCCCAGGCTCTTGGGCTGGCTTTCAACCGTGTTACTCAGATCTCACCCTCCTAAGTAGCTAGGATTACACATAAGTGAACAATCCCTGTTCAGCTTGATAATATTCTTTAGTGTAGAAATAAAACACCTGAGTGATACGAGTGTTTCTGCTGATGAGCACAAAAGGGCTTAGGACTGAGAAAAACACAACCAGGAACACAGACGTGTGCACCCACACAGTCTGGCATTGTACTTAGACCAACACAAAGAGTGAAAATGGCAGAGAGGCAGTAGAAAGAGATGAACAGTCTCACCAAGAACAGGATGGTGTGCATGACCCTGGCCTTATGGTCAGGTCATAGGGTGAATGCGGCTGTGAATTTGCCAGACCCTCTGCTTGTGTCTGGGCAGGACAAGGACCATGGAACCACTGGCCCACATCTGATAACCAAGCACATAATACCAATGCAACACATAAAAAGACTCGTAATAACATTGCAAAGGGTACTGATGGGCCTAGGGAGCAGTATCTATAACGCATGTACACAGTGACAATTTGTTTGTATTTTGGGACAATCACTGTCAGAGGCACATAAACATTTACCAGGATCTGCAGGATCCAGAAAAGGGAACCACAGAATCTGAAGCACTTGGGGAATCTACTATTGACCTTCCACCAAGATTTTCTAGTGCAAAGCTTTTAGACCAAGAAACCACTCAGAAGGCAGGTGGCATTAAGAGAAACCCCTCTGGTTGGTATAATTTGTGAAGGGGAAGGGAAAAAACCAAATCGTTTAAATAGGGATACAGGTGGATCCACTGAAACAATGAGATGTACAAGTCGTTATGTGGGAAACACGAAGTTTACAACTTTGGTGGGGGGGAGGAAGGAGGATTGGATATGGGGGGCAGGGGAGGATGGTAAGGGATGGAAAGGAGAAATAAAGGAGGAGGCTATAATGATTGATAAGAAATGTACTCATTACCTTGCCCATGTAATTGTAACCCCTCTGTACAGTTTTTTCAAAATATAAAAATAAGAGAAACCCCTCTGGCTACTCTGTAGAAATACAAAATGACTTTACATGCAGCATCATCCAGGAAGTACTTGCATCCAAAACCTGCCATAGTCTGAGCGATCCCTCTGGATAAAACAACAAAGTTGGTGGCAAAGACCAGATGGATCAGGATGGGGTCTATGGGCCTCACCTTCTGTCCAGTGAATTGGGTATAGGTATAAAAACAAAGGAGACAGGAGTTCCCCAGGATCCCTGCTGCAGTCTGAGTAAGGAAGGCAATCCCCATTTTCATGTCACTTAAACATCTCAGAAATAAATGATTTTATTTTGAGACAAAAACTAACATTAAAACAAACATCTAGATGGAAGGGGTGGCTCACGCCTGTCATCCTACCTACTCAGAAGGCTGAGATCTGACGATCTCGATTCAGAGCCAGCCCAGGCAAGAAAGTCTGTGAGACTCTTATCTCTAGTAAATCACTAGCAAACTAGAAGTGGTAATGTGCCTCAAGCATTAGAGCACTCGCCTTGAGCTGAGGAACAAAGGGATAGAGCCCAGAACCAGCATTCAATCCCCATGACTGACCAAAAAAAAAAAAAACCACTATCAATATTACAGCTAGCTGAGTTCTGTGACTGCTGTGTGTTATCCTATCTACTCAGAAGGCTGAGATATGAAGATCATAATTGAAGATCTCAGGATTGCAGTTCAACGCCAGTCCTGGGAGAACGACCCATAATACTCTTATCTCCAATTAACCACTCCACAACTGAAAATGGTGCTGTGACTCCAAGTAGTCGAACACTAGCCTTGAGTAAAAAAGCTCACAGAACACCCAGACCTTAGGTCAAGCCCCATGGCCTTTAAAAACAAAAACAAAAACAGAATGCTAACAAGGCAGGTAATCATATGGGCTCAGGAAGCTGAGATCAGATGATCACAGTTCAAGCCAGCCCACGCAAGAGGTCTGTGAGACCCTGATCACCATTTGAAATAATGGTATTCTGTATAAACAGCACCATTTTGGCCATGTGGGGAATAGTAGGGACTTAGGTTTCATAGCACCATCTTGTCTTCATGATGGGAGAAGGTGAAGTCTCACACACAGGGGACAGGTGATGAAAGGCCTGAATTCCTAGGGGCAGTGCCAGGACTGGACAATACATTACTGGACCAGTCAGTCAGTCCTGTGCTTTTCACATCAGAGATTCTGTTGCTCCCTGTGACCTTGCCCCATGAACCTGATGCTATGGAAGGGTGAACCAGCTGAAGTGTGATGAAGTCCAGCCTCATTCTCCTGGCTCTCCTCAAGGGACCATGGTGTCCCAGGTCAGCTCAGTATTAGAGTTGATCTGGTTTGTTGGTACTGTTTTCTTAGTTGTGTCTTTCCTGTGCTGCTCTCACGGCTCAGTTTTCTAACAGTGTGAAGTGTATTCAAGGGGCTGCAGGTCTTTGGGATAGGGGTCCATCTGTGGTCATCAGCATTTGGCTCTTCAAAATTTGGTTCCTCTGTTTATCACAACTTAGTTCCCATACAATGCATTAAACTAATGAGAAGCCAGAAGTGCAGACATGACTGAAGTGGTAGAGTCCTAGCCTTACACAAAAAGACTCTTTGGGCAGTGTCCAGGACATAAATTCAAGCCCCATAAAGACAAAAAAGAATTACATGAAATTTTATTTGAATTAATAGCATGATTACTAATATACACAAATATTTCATAGAATGGTGAGGCATCAACTAACATCTTGTGTATTAGGAACATTTTTTCTCTTTTTGTTCCTCCACTGGTGGGGTCTGAGTGTCATCTCTGAGCTCATTTTAGCTCTCCCACTTGCAGCCAAAGTTCACTGTGGTTTTCGCATAGTGAATTGGAAATAACAATCTCATGGAATTTTGTCTGGGCTGGCTTTCAACCAGGATCCTCATATCTCAGCCAACTAGGTAGCTAGATTATAAGCGTGAGCCAGAGAAGAATTCTTTCTTATAATAAAAGGGAATATCTTAGATTAAGAACAGTTAAAAAATTTTAAACAACACAATTATAAGAAACATAGAAAGAAACAGATAAAAGCTTAATATAGCCATAACATCATTAAAAACAACAGAGACACACTGTACACAGAGAAGGAAACACAAAAAAATTGCATGAACTTCAATTTGTAAAAGGTGGATTTTGTTAGTTTATTAGCAAAGAAGTACAGTCTGAATTACTCTAGCAATATCAGAAAAGAAATCCAAAGAAGCCAGGTGCTGATGACTAATGCCTGTAATCTTAGACACTCAGGAGCCTTATAGCTAAAGTTTGCAGTTTGAAGCCAGCCTGAGCAGACAAATCCACAAAACTTAATGTTCCAGACTCTTTGGTGACTCATGGACAACTAGGGCTCTCCATCTCTCTGATCCTAAAAAGTTATCCACCATGCAGAAAGGATTACATTACGTGCCTCCTGGTCATGTATATAGATAAATTTGCCCATAAAATAGAGATTTTTGTTAAAAAAATTTCATTTGAAGAATGCCTTAAGCTAGGTGCCCTACCCTCATGGCTGTAATCATAGCAACTCAGAAGACTAAGATGTGAGGATTGAGGGTTGAAGCCAACAGTGTCAGTAAAGTTCAGAAAACTTTTACCTCCCAATAACCACCAGGAACACTGGAAATGGTCGAGTGGCTCAAATGTTAGAGCATTAGGCTTGAGCAAGCAAAAAAGCTCAGGGACAATGTCCAGGCCCTGACTTCAAGTCCCCTGACTGACTGAAAGAAAAAAGAATCTCCTTAAATAAGTGAAGGGAAAAGAGAAGGCAGAGGGAGAGAGAATACACTGAGGAAAATGGCTGGCATGTGATTGACAAGCCAAGGCATTTAAAATTAACATTGACTAGCTTCTTCCATTCATATCATGATTTGTCATCTCACAAAATATTCCTTTTCACAATCTCTTACAATCTTTTCTTCAAGTAATATGTCATGTTTTAATGAAATCATAAATCATATTGAGACATTACTCATGACAACAAAGTACACAGGTATATTAAATCATTTCAGCCGAGAATGCTCTACCCCTGAGCCCACAAAGCTGTGTGGTCTTCAGGATATGAAGAAATGTGGAGTTGCATCAAGACTTCTAACTGAGGCAGGAAACAGGCCTGTGACCCTCACTTAACATATCTCCTAAAATACAAGAGGGGTACCTCATTCTAACCCCAAAAAGCACACACATATTACAGAGAAGTTACTTCTGCATTTTCTTGATGAGTTCCATTGACTACTGTCACTTGCCTGAGAAGATTAGCTGCTTACCCAGTAGGAATTTGCTGTCAGGACAAAGGAGCAGAGGCAGTGGTCACAGCATTTGTGCTCAGCCATGGAGCCCCAAGATAAAGGCTCAGGACTATGTGATCTCATCTCTTTTGTGGGTGTGCTAATCATGTCACCTGGAAGTGCGGTGACACTGTGTGTGGGGGGAACATTGTTTCCCCATGACAAACTCTGGAGAATTGTGGATACTGATGAGCACCACTGAACTTCCTCGACCTTTTAGAACAGATATGTCCTACGGTGAGGGAAGTCCAGAGAACATGGGGAAAGTTTTGAAGATGATCTCATTAGAAGTCAATAGAGGAACAGGAAGTCTATTGTACAAGAGTGTGAAACTGAGCAAATGGTGTTGATGAATTTTTAGGTTTTCTTTTTTCTGTTGTCTCCAAGATGCAATTTTTTTTCCTTAGCCAACCACTATATTTTTTTTAAAAAAAGACAAAAGTTAAAGAAATATTGGTGCCAGTCACTCATGCCTGTAATCCTAGGTAGTCAGGAGGCTCAGATATGAGCATTGTGGTTTGAAGCCAGCCCAGGCAGGAAAGTCCATAAGACTCTTATCTAAAATAAATTGCTAAAAGAAAGCCAAGGGGCTGAGAGGGAGGCTCAGTGGTAGAGAGCTTGCCTTCCACACATGAGGCCCTGGGTTTGATTCCTCAGCACCACATAAGCAGAAAAAGCCAGAAGTGGTGCTGTGTCTCAAGTGGTAGAGAACTAGCCTTGAGCTGAAGAGCTGATGGACAGCCCCCCAGGCCCAGAGTTCAGGCAGACGACGGACAGAATTAAAAAAAGCCAGAAGTGGAGTGGTCCTCAAATGGTAAAGCACTATTCTCCAACTTAAAGGACTCATGTACAGCACCCAGCTTGTGAGTTGAAGCCTCAGGACTGGCAAGGCAATTTATAGATAGATGGATCTATCTATCTATCTATCTATCTATCTATCTATCTATCTATCTATCTATCTATCTATCTATCTATGAATAAGTATCTATATCTCTCCTCTCTCTCTCTGTCTCTCTCTCTTCCAAAATCAAAGTGCAACGTGCCTGTGAGTGATGTATAAGTAACATCCCATTGTCATCAATCATTTCTAAATGACTCTATGGCTCTGTGTTCTTGACCTCACATATGGTGTGTGTGTGTGTGTGTGTGTGTGTGTGTGAGTGTGTGTGCATGCACGTGTGCACGCACACATCTGCACACATCTGAGGGAAGCTAGGAGGCAGGCACAGAATCAGAGGGAAACAGGAAACAATACAACAGAGGGGCCCATCAGCAGCAGTGAACATTGATGAAAATGAACTAAGCAACTCAAGGACAGCAATGGGAAGGAGGGAATGAGAGGGAAAGAGGGAACAGCTTACACTAAGCAAAAGGAAAGAAATGTACATATTATGTGGAGGGAATAGTTGTATTTTCAAAGCTTATAGAATTCACAAACATTATAGACCATGATAATGACAAGTTGCCTTGTGAAGGTTAAAATGTGTTTGTGACTTTAACTATCATCTTTTCACAATATTGTGAAATTTGTGAAATTCATGTAATCACTTAATCTCAATAAAATTATTTTTTAAAAAATTTTAAAAGCTTGAGACCTTGGATAAAGGAGTCAAGTACCACGATACTCACCCTATTGTCTGCCTGATCCTGCAGTCACCTCCTCTGAACTGAACTCAAGTAACCTCTCTCTGCTTGCTCAGACTGCACAAAAGCCTAACTCTGAAACCACCTCCTGATATAACCTCCATATCTGCAGGAAGGCTGCAGCCCTGATTGTTCCTAGCCTGTTGAGAACTGAGTCCTGCCTATTTCTTTCCCTTTCCTTTCCATTTCCTTAACAGGGAGAGACAGACAGACAGACAGACACAAAGAAAGGGACAGAGAGATGGAGAGTCAGAGAAAGGGTTCTAACAATTAAAAGCAAATTAAATATCCTACATGAAAAATGTTCAACATTCTAGGAACCCTACTCCTATCAAAATTGACTCCAGAAAGTCGGACACTGGTGGCTCACACCTGCAATCCTAGCTACTTAGGAGTCTGAGATCTGAGAATCACAGTTCTAAGCCAGCCCAGGCAGGAAAGTGTATAAGACTCCTATCTCCAATGAACTACTTAGAAAAGGACAGAAGTGGTGCTATAGCTCATGAAATAGAGCAGTAGTCTTGAGGTAAAGAAGCTCAGGAACAGCATCCAGGCTGAGTTCGAGCCCAGGACTAGAAAAAAAATTGGCCCAGGAAATAACAGCAAATCTGAATATCTACAAGAAAAAGAGAGATTGCCTCTCTAGTGTAAAGCCACCCAACACAGAAAATCACCCCTCACATACAAGGATACACACACACACACACACACACACACACACAGAGTTGTTTGTGTACATTTATGTCACCAAATTGTGTATTTTAGGAACAGTTTTTAGTAATTTAATCAAATTAAAATGTGAACTTTTTTTGGGGGGGGTCAGTCCTGGGGCTTGAACTCTGGGCTTGGGATCTGTCCCTACACTCTTCAGCTCAAGGCAAGGGCTCTACTGCTTGATCCATAGTGCCACTTCTGATTTTCTAGTGGTTTATTGGAGGTAAGAGTCTCACAGACTTTCCTGGGTGGGCTGACTTTGAACTGTGGTCCTCAGATCTCAGCTTACGGAGTAGCTAGGATGACAGACATGAGCTACTGGTGTCCAGTAAAACGTGAACTTTTTTGTGTGAGATGCATCAACTAAATCATTTTTAGGATGACTGTTGATATTGTGCACGAGGTTATGCCTCACACTAAATCTGTTTTACTTTTAGACGGAGAGGGAATTCTGGGCTGGTCCTGGGTTACATTTTTGAACCATCAGTAACACAGGTTTACTGCTTGACCTGCCACCATGTCTCCAGGTCTAAGTCAAAATGGAGGATTTCTTCAGATCTCTCAAATTGTTGTGTTCCACATGACAGCTCTTTCTAGACTACTCTTCTATACCTCAAGATGCTGGATCTAATTATGTTTGAAGTCATTACATTTTCAGGTACCAATGTGAAAAGCCAACAAATAAAATTTTGTGCTAAATATTGAACTTTATTTCCAAGTTTAAATTTCCACTCATTACACTTACTCAGCACAATTCATTACATAATGGAAAAAAATAAGTACAAGTCCTGTAAAATAGGGTGATAAGATTGTCTGGTACCACTGTTACTGTGAATTAGACAGCAATTGCACTTTTCCTTATTCATTATTTGCTTAGTGAAAGATCATTAGGCCTCGATAACAATTTTCTATGACTTTATTTTACTTGAGGTTCAGGCGACAAACTCAGGGTCTTGTGTAGGAAAGTACTTCACAACAGAGATACTCCCATGGTCAGTTATACACAGATGCTTACAAATACCGTTTGTTATATAATCATTGAACAACTTTAGAAATAAAAATTTATGCAGGGCTCTGGTGGCTCAGGCCTGTAATCCTAGCTACTCAGGAGGATGAGATCTGAGGGTTGTAATCCAATGCTGATCCAGTTAGAAAAGACTGAGAGACTGATCTCCAACAAGCCACAAGAAAACTGGATGTGGAGGTGTGACTCATAATGGAAGAAGTCTAAACCTGAGTGAAATAACTCAGGAATAGTGCCAAGGCATTCAGTTCAAGCCTTATCACTATGACTGACAAATGATAATAATAATAATAATAATAATTTAACTTAAAAGTGATTCAATATGCACAGTGGCTTGCATCTGCAAATTTAATCAGGAGGATTTGGGTTCAAGATCATACCAGATAAACATAAGACCATATCCCATGGGTGCAGGGCGTGGGAGTGGGAGAGGGGGGCTGAGATTGGGATATTTGTAGCTTTAGGTAAACCTGAGGATCTCTTTCAACAAAATAATCTCAGAATCTTGGTTCACATCTGTCATCCCAGATACTTCAGGAAGCACATAACAGGAGTATGAGTGTGCAGGCTGAACTGGAAGGAAAGCAAGCTATCTCTCAACAATAACCAGAGTGAAAAAGAACTAGAGCATGTCTCTAGTAGTAGAGCCCCTGCTGTAGTGACTGCAAACCACAGCATCTAAATCCCAGTGCTGCAAAAACAAAACTATGATCCAACTCTAAAATCTGTTGTAATGTATCGAGTTAACCAAATTATGAAGATGTTTATTTAATGCAGACATAAAACACCTGAATGAGGCGGGTGTCTCTGCTGATGAGCACATAGGGGCTCAATACTGAGAAACCTGCACCCAGGAACTGACATGTGTCCATCAGCCAGAGACCTGGCTTCCTACTTAGACTAAGCCAAAGAGTGAAAATGGCAGAGAGGCAGTAGAAAGAGATGAACATGCTCACCAAGGTCAGGATGGTGTGTGTGGCCCTGGCCTCATGGTCAGGTCTTCGGGAGGGAATGTGGCTGTGAATATACCAGACCCTCTGCTTGTGTCTCTGCAGGAAAAGGACCATGGAGCTACTGGCCCACATCATGAAAACCAAGCACATAACATCAATGGCAATGAATAAAACGACATGTAATAACGTTGCAAAGGGTTCTGACGGGCCTGGGGAGCAGTATATATAATGCATGTGCAGAGTGACATTTTGTTTGTGTCTTGGGCCAATCACTCTCAGAGGCACATAAACATTTACCAGGAGCTGCAGGATCCAGAAAAGGGAACCACAGAATCCAAAGCACTTGGGGAATCTAGTAGTCATCTTCCACCAAGTGTTTCTATTGCAAAGCTTTGAGACCTGGAAGCCACTCAGAAGGCAGGTGGCATTAAGAGAAATCCCTCTAGCTACTCTGAATAAATACAAAACAACTTTACATCCCGCATCATCCAGAAAGTACTTCCATCCAAACCTTGCCATTGTCTGAGGGATCCCAGAGGAGAAAACAACCAAGTTGTTGGCAAAGACCAGAAGGCTGAGGATGGGGTCTGTGGGCCTTACCTTCTGTCCAGTGAGGAGGGTGTAGCTGTAAAAACAGAGGAGACAGGAGTTCCCCAGAATCCCAGCTGCAGTCTGAGTGAGGAAGGCAACCCCCACCTCCACCTGAGCTTCTGACATCTCTTCCAAATCTAGGAAATAACAGATTTTATTTTGAGATGAAAAACAGCATGAAAACTAACAAATAACTCTGAACATACTAGCTAGCCCGGTACAGGGGACTCACATCTGTTATCTTAGCTACTCAGGAGGCTACCATCTGATCTGAAGATTGTGGTTCTAAGACAGGTGAGGTAGAAAATCCTCAAGAAACCCTTATCTCCCATTTACCACTCAAAAACCGGAAGTGGTGCTGTGGTTCAAAGTGCTTGAGCATTAACGTGGAGGAAGAAGCTCACACAGCAGCCCAGAGCTTAGTTAAAGCCCCATGGCCATCAAAAAACAAAAATAAAAATTATACTAGCCAATCCAGGCCCAAGTAATCATAGTGAATCAGGAGGCTAAGATCTGATTTTCATGGTTCAAATCCAACAGGGCAAGAAGTCTGTGAGACTCTGATCCCCATTTGATATAAATATACTATGTCTAACCGGTGCCAATCCCACCACATGGTGGGATGATAGGGAGTTAGGTTTAACTTTCATCATCTTATCTTCATGATGGAGGAAGGTGAAGTTCCAAACATAGGTGATGGGTGTATTTGAATTCCTTAGAAGCAGAGTCAGTAACTTGAACAATTGGTTACTGGACCTGTCAGTCCTGTGCCTTGAACTCTGAGACTCTGGGATTCCCTGTCACCCTGTCAGCCTGTCCCTGCACCTCTAGATCTGGTCCAGCTGAGGCTCCATTGAATCATGCCTTCTGACTTCTGGCACTCCTCCTGTCTCCATGGTGTTCCACTTCAGCTCTCTAGTAGGGTTGATCTTATTTGTTGGTATTTTTGATAGGCTCTTTCTTTCCTTGCCTGCTCTCATGGCTCAGTTTTCTGACAGTGTTAGGTGTATTGGAGGGACTGCACATCTTTGGGACAGGAGTCCACCTGCAATTGACAGCTCTCCGATGAAGACTCCCAATCCCAGGCCTCAAAATTTGATTCTCTGTTTCTCACACTGAGTTTCTGAAGAACACATTAAACTAACGAAAGCAGTAGAAGTGGACCCATGTGTCAAATGTTAGAGCACTAGCTTGGAGCAAAAACAATCTCATGCATAGGTCCAGTACCTGAGTTAAACCCCAGGACCCACAAAAAATAATTACATGATTTAATTGAATTGATAGTATTATTATTGATAGCCACAAATACTTGATAGAATGATGAGACATCAATGAACATCTTAATTACAAGGAACATTATTTCTTTTTTGTTTATTTTTTGTCACTAGTGGGGTTTGGGGCTATCTCAGAGCTTTTTTTGCTCAAGGTAAGTCCTTTCCCACTTTAAGCCACAGCTCTAATTCTGGGTTTCTGATGATGAACTGGAAATGAGAATGTCATGGACTTTCCTGCCTGGGATGGCTTTGAACCACAATACTCGCATCTCAGGCTCCTCTATAGCTAAGATTAGAGGCAGCATCCAAAAAAGAAACATCATTTCTTGTAATAAAGGATATTATCTTTGATAAAATAGTTAAAATTTTGTAAAACAACAATTATGTAAAATATGGAAAGAAAAGGACAATGTCTGAATGTATCTACATTATGATTCAATACTGTACACAGAGAAGGAAACACAAGTATTGCACAAACTACAGTTTGTCAAAGAAACACCTTGCTAGTTTATTAGCAAAGAAATGTAATCTGAATTTGCTCTTGCATTTTCAAAAAAGAAATCCAAAGAAGGCAAGTGCTGGTGGTTATTCCTGTAATACTTGCTACTCAGGAGGCTAAGAGCTGAGGATTACAGTTTGATAGCAGCCTGAGCAGACAAATCTATAAGACATTGATCTACATTGAACCACCCAAAAGCCAGAAGTGGAAGTGTGTCTCAAGTGATAGAAAGCAGTCTTGAGTGAACAACTAAGCAAGAGACTGAGGCCCTGAGTTCAAGCTCTTATAGTGGATGTCCCTCAGTGATGTAGTTTGAGTGCTCCAGCCTCTTGAGTGACTCATGGAAAACTAGGGCTCTCAATCTCTCTGAGATGCAGAAAAGCATAAGTTAAGCACCTCCTGGTCATTTATATAGATCAATTTTCCCACGAAGTACAGTTTCTGGTTACAAGGTGACATTTGAAAAAAAAATCTGCTAAACTAGGTGGTGGTGACTCAAACCAGTAATCTTAGACACTCAGAAGACTGAGATGTGAGGATTGAGATTTGACTAAAGACTGAGATGTGAGGATTAAGATTTGACTGCTGGCTGGGTAGGAAAGACCAGGAGACTCATATCTCCCAAAAACCATGACCAAAAATGGAAGTGGCTCTGTGGCTAAAATGGTAGTGCTAGTCTTGAGAGAAAAACCTCAGGGGCAGAGCTGAGGCCCGAATAAAAGCCCTATAACCAAGAGAAAATAAAAGGATCCCCTCAAGTAAGATGACTACAAGGACAATGAGAGAGACAGCATAGGGAGAGAGAACACACTGAGGAAATCGGCTGGAACAGGAATGACAAGTCAACAGGCTTCTTATATTCATATCATAATTGTTCATGTCAGAATTTACTCCTTTACAAAATCACTTCCAATGTTTATCTTCAAATAATAGGTGATTGCTTTAAATATAATGAGGTCATATTGACATATTACACATGTCCAAAAAATATAGAGAATGCTCCACCCCTAAGCACACAAAGCTGTGTGGTCTCCAGGATGCATTCGGGTGTGAAACGGTGCCAACATTGCTAACCGAGGCAGGAGAGAGGCCTGTTACTCTCACCAAACATTTCTCCTAAAATATAAGACATGTGCCTCATTCCAACCCCACACAGCACACACATTTTACAGAGAAGTTACTTCTGCATTTTTTTGATGAGTTACAAAAACTACAGTCACTTGTCTGAGAAGAATAGGTGCTTACCCAGTAGGAATTGGCTGTCAGGACAGAGGAGCAGAGGCAGTGGTCACAGCATGTGTGCTCAACAACAATGCCCGAAGAAAAAGCCTCAGGACTGTGTGATCTCATCTCCTCTGTGTGCAGGCTCATCATGTCCCCTGGAAGTTCGGTGACACTGTGTGCTTGGGGAATAGGGCTTCCCTGTGACAAACAGTGGAGAATTGTGCCTACTGATGAGCACCACTGAACTTCCACAACCATTTCCAACAGATGTGACTCATGGTAAGGGAAGTCTAGGGAATATGGGAAAACTTTTGAAGATAATCTCATTACAAGTGAGTAGAGGAACAGGAAATCTATAGTGTAAGAGTGTGACATCCATATGTATTTGGTGAATTTTTAGCGACTTTTTTATTTTTATTTTTTTATTGTGAAAATAATATACAGAGTGGTTAAAATTACATGGGCAAAATAATGAGTACATTTCTTATCAAGCATTGTAGCCTCCTCCTTTGTTTCTCCTTCCCATCCTTCCCCCATCCCCCACCAAAACCTCCTCCACCCCCCACCAAAGTTGTAAAGTTCGTTTTCGACATAACGACTTATATGTCTCATTGTTGCAATGGGTCCACCTGTGTCCCTATTTAAACGATTTGTTTTTCCCCTTCCCCTCCACAAATTATAACGACATCAAATAGAGTGAAAGCAGGTATTGTAAGTGGAGGAGGGACATACAAAGCAACAAAGAAATAATCTTATAAATGTGGTAGAAACAATCGCATGAAAAAAAATTGAATAATTACCTTGGAGTTCATTTCCCTAACATTCTGCTTGTCTCAGATATATATTAGTTATTGCAAATAAGTGAAACCATGGGACCTATGTTTGTTTGGGCCTATCTTACCTCACTTAATATAATTTTTTCCAAGTCTTTCTATTTCCTAACTAATGGGGCAATGTCATTCTTTCTGATGGAGGCATAGAATTCCATTGTGTATATATACAAATTTTCTTGATCCATTCATCTACTGAGGGGCAT